CCACCCCGGGCTTGCTTTCCAGCCCCCTGATCATCCTTGTTGCTCTCCTCTGAACTTGCTCCCATTTGTTGACATCTTTCTTCAACTAGACACAGTACTGAAGACGAGGTCTAGCCAGTGCTGAACAGAGGGGAACGAGAACCTCATGGGATTTGGAAACTATACTTCTGTTAATGCATCCCTAAAATAGCATTGGCCTTTTTTGCAGCCACACCGCGCTGTTGGCTCATATTCAGCGTGTGATCTAAAAACAATTCCAGGATCCTTCTCACTCGTAGTATTACTGAGCCAAGTATCCCCCCCCACCATATAACGGTGCATTGTTCCCCCCCCACCCACACCCCCCCAGGTGTAGAACTTTGTATTTATTCCTGTTACATTTCATTCTGTGGTTTGCAGCTGTGGTCCCCAACCTTGGGCCTCCAGATGTTATTGGACTGCAACTCCCAGAAGCCTTCACCATCACCTCTGCTGGCCAGGATTTCTGGGAGTTGAAGTTCAAGAACATCTGGGGGCCCAAGGTTGGGGACCACTGGATTACAGTAACACATCCACTGCTGGGAGATTCTAGGAGTTACTTTTCCACGATTTCCATTTATTTTAATTGAGTATAATTAGGTGTCAGGAAAGGCAGTTCCAGGGGTGGCTTCTATCCTATCTTCACCTGCCTCGGTCAGCTACCATGACGGGGGGGGGGTTTGCTGGTCCCCCACTCCTGATTCTCCCTTGTTTTTCTATTCCTTTGTTCCGTGTTCTTTTCTTTTTCGTTTTCTCCGACAATCCGTTAAGGAGAAAAGACAGAACGGCTGCAAAGGGGTTTCTAACTGCTAGCAGAACAAAAAAAAAACAAACCCTCTTTCAAAATTACTTGGCAGTCTGGATTCGGTCCAAGTGTTCTGAATGAAAGGGGGCTATGATCCAGAGCCAATTTCCGTGCGAGTGAGCCCACGGGACCCAATGGAACTTACTTCTGAGCAAAGGCAACGACAGTCACACTGTGTTTAGATGAGGGGTGGGTGGCAGAAGGGGTGGAGGGAATCGGTTCCCCTTCCCCTCACCCCCCAGACCCAAACCAGAAAAAATGAACCCACAACCTGATTCGTTTTCCCAGGGTTTAGGGGAGTTTTGTGGTTTGCCCGTGTATCTGTACCCTGTTATCCGGGTGCAAGAGACTGGATTCTCGTGAACTGGGGGGGGGGGGAGAAAAACCCCANTGGCTGCCGTCGGATCGTTCCTGTCTTCACGAGCAGCACGCCTGCCGTCTTCAGGAGGCTGGGAGTTAAAAGATCCCGGGGGAGACGCAGGCCGGCCGAGGCGACCCAATTAAAAGAGGTGGGCTAAGCTGGGAGTCTATTAGTAGCGAGTGGCCGCCAAGAAGCATGTAGGCAGAGGCGCTGACCTGCTCCGGCTAGATAAACCTGGCTATCTAAATGCTAATGCCAGCCGTCGGCGGGCGGCAGGATCGGCTGCAGCTGGCGGAAGCCAAGTGCCAGCCCCTCTCTCGGCAGCATCCTTGAGGCAGGCTTTTCAAAGCGAGAGCTGCGCACACTGCCTGGCGCACAGGCCAGAATTTTAAAAAGGGTGGGGTGCTAAAAATGGGTAAGAGGTGGGCTGGGTTTGCATTTTCCCTTTGTTAAAAAAAAGCAGTTTTCACATATACACACACAGACGGACTAGCAGTAGGATGGAGCACATCATGTGCCAAGAATCCATACCATTCCGAGGCTTGCAAATGTCTTCAAGTGGAAAATAGGTGTACAAAACTCTGCGTGCACTTGGAAAATGTGCACAAGGAAACACGGGTCTCTTTTGGAAAAAAAGAGCACACTCTTTGGTCAAAGGGAGAAAGCAGACCGTGTCTCCAAATTGTACACATTTTTGGGGGCATTTTTTTTAACAAAAAAGTATTTCCTCCATCCCAGGTACTGAATGCCAGTGGCATGCTTTAAAATGCCACGAGAAGGAGGCAGAGATGTTATC